TTCCCTTTCTTGCCTTCTGTCCCCTCCCTTGTCCCCTGCCCCCTCCCATGTTCTGCAGAGATTTGATTTTTCTTTCTTTCTTTCTTTTTACGATAATGTCAAGTTTAATCTGCCAAATACACAAGTTGGATTTGTGGAGCAGGCTTTGCCTGGGTGCTGCACAGTCAACGGAGGTTTCTTGAAATGATTGATGGGTTAGGTTAAAAATGGGTAGTAGCTCTGGCCAAATATGTGGGAATGGGGCAGGGAAGGGCAGAGAAAAGGGCTCAATTGGAGGCTACTGACCAGGGACAGAGAAGCTATGGGACCCAGGGCACAACCCTCTCCGAGTAGGCACCCAGGCAGCACAGACTGGAGCTGGTGGCTGCACGTGCCAGCAGGTGCCACTGGCACTACCACCCATTAACGTGCTGTCTACAGAACAAATGGAAGCTCTTCTGACCCACCTCCCAGACACCCGCCAACCAGGGTTTTGAATTCTAAAAGGAGCAAAAACATTCAAATGGTTACATGTGAAATGCTATCCTGCATCTTTTTGTCTCAAAAGATAGCAGCTGCCCCCTTCCCCAGCCTCCCACACCCTTGAACAATTTCTGTGCCAAGGTGAAGAGGCAACCCCAGGCTGTAGGGGTTCCTGGCCATGAGGGCCTGCCACAGCGGTGGCAGGGCACAAGATGGATGAGACGCAGCAGCAGTCCTGGCAGCGCGGTGCCATTCCTGGCCTCTCTTTTCATAGGCGGCGCTTACTTATTCAGGGAAAGTGACTGCATCCGTTTTCCCGACAAAGTCGTGTCATCTTTTGCTTTCCTCTCCTCTTCCTTCTTCCTTGCAGCTTCTTCCCGTTGTTTCTGGATGATAGCCAGCCAGGCAAGGTCAGCCTTGGCTTGCTTTGTCTTAACAGCTAAATGCATTTTCATGTAGCGTTCTTTCGCTTTCTGCTTCCTGATTTCTTCTTGTTCTCTCCTGAAAACTCTTGGCCTGTCCAGATGCAGTTGTGTAACCTTTTTGTTTGTCTAGACCCCTTGGTTGGGGTTCTCGATGTCAGTGAGCCCTTCCATACCTTGCATTTTTGCTGGTAGTCTATCCTCATCCTCGCTCTACTCAGAGTCTAGAGATTTCTTCTCCTTTTTGGGGTCACCTGCAGCCCCATCTCCACCTTCTTCTTGCTCTTTTTCTTCCCTGGCTTTCTGCTTTTCAGCCTGCAGCTGGGCGTCAAATCTCCTCAGGGCTTATATACTGCCTTGCTCTGCCTTTGTGGCCTCCTTTTCTCCCTCCTTTAGGCATAGAGGTTCCAGCGGCTGCTGCAGTGGTGCCTTGAAATAACACAGGAACCAGAAACACTTTAAGCTCTACTTCTACCCGGCCCAGTCCGCTCAGCGTTGCGCCGCCTCTGCCCCAGAGAATTTTATTAAAAAAAAAAAATATACTCTTGGATTTCAGCCCTTGAGGTTCTGACTCTAGTGGGGTCTAAGGCCTGATTTGTGTCATTTTTAAAGCCTTACACTGCTTTAAAGCCTCCAGCAGAGGTCATTGATGGCAGCTGTTACCTTCTGGCTGTCATCCCATTTTACAGTGTACCCAGAGTGGAGTGCCCTGTGATACAGGAACTCCCATTTTGTTTTGCCACACTTCTTTTTGGGACATGTGAAATCTGCAACCATGTTTATTGCACAGCCCTGCCTGAGGAATAAAACAGGGCTCTAGAGGACCTGCTCTGGAAGAGGCTTGTTATATCAAAGTTCTAGTCACTCTGAGATCCATTTGTTTATTCAGCAGCTGTGGGATACTAAGTCAGGATTTGTGAGGATAGTCTGACAGGAGCCTCAGCTTTATGAAAGTTAACTGTTTTGCTGACTGGAAACATTCCTATCCTCCAAGGATGCACTTGTGTACCTCACACTGATTCTCTCTTTGTTATGCCGCTAGACCCCACACTCTGCTCCACTTTACCTCACACTCAGCTTGCCCAGCTTGGCCAGGTAGCATTCATGTGTGGGGGCAGGGAGAGAGAGGGTGAATTGAATAGGACTGTGGCTTTATGTATCGTTAAAGCTAGATTGCTACACATATTTTAGAAGCCTATTAATAAATCATTTATATGTATGTATGATTTAATTTTTATGCAAAACATTTGTGTTGATAAAAACATAAAAGGGACCTTTACAGTGATTTCTTCCTCTGAGATAATTTGATTTAATGTATGATTTAATTTTTATGCAAAACATTTAACTTGTGTTGATAAAAACATAAAAGGGACCTTTACAGTGATTTCTTCCTCTGAGATGTTTAGAGGCTGTTTAGCAATACCAGTAGTAGTGGTAGCCTCACACCCTGTATTTTGTCTTTGTGTGTGTGTGTGTGTGTGTGTGTGTGTGTGTGTTTGAGTGTGTTTGAGACAGGGTCTCACTATACAGTTTGAGCTGTCCTTCAGCTCATTTTTTAGCCCAGCCTGGTCCTGAACTTGCAGTGATCCTCCTGCCTCAGCTTTCTGAGTGCTGAGATTACAGTCACGCACCACTATGCCTGTATTCCCTGTGTTTTGTCTTAGTGAGTTGTGCTGTCTGCTGAACCCAGGACCTAGAACTCTCTTATGTCCTCAAAAAAAGGTAAACTAAACCCAAAGGTAGCACTCCAGATGTCTGGGTTTTTTTTTTTTTTTTTTTGGTCCACCTTGTAATTTTATTTTCTTAACCTTATCACCAATTAAGGACAGAAATAAAATTTTATTGAATTTGAGAGTGCTGCCTCTCAGCCTTCTTCAGTGAGGCACCAAAGCCTATTTTCTTTCTTCATTTCCCTTTTCTTAATCAGCTCAGTTTAGGGGTACTTCCTAAGTGAGAGATAAAATCTCACCCTACCAGCTTTAGGGATCTATCAAAAACCAAAAAGAACAAATGAAAAAGCTGACCAGAATATATAAGTGAACAGAAGACAGGTGTGAGTGAGTTACTTCCTATCTCTCCTTTGGGTCATAGTTCAAGAAGATTTTTCACATTCCTTTAGAATTGCCCTTCAGAATGGTATGTGAGTTATTTTTTGGAATCACTAGTAACAGTAGTTACAGTAGTTCCCCCTTACATGCTGGAGATAAAGACTCCAGTATAAGCCTGAAACCATGGATAGTAATGATACCTAGATTGTACACACTGTGTGTATTTGTATGTGTATACATTTGTGATAAAGTGTAATTTATAAATTAGAGATTAATAACAATTACATAACAATTATATTAATAATGTACACATGTGATCATTATAACTTCTTGAAAAATCTTACTGTACTTCACCTTTTTACTCAAAAGAGGTCTTTTGTGACTTCTCTTTGGCATATCCCAGTTGTCAGATCACACAACTCTTGTGCCTTAGGGCCATTATTAACAAAAAAAAAGGTTGTGTGACTGTATAAACACCACTGAACTGTGGCATCGATCCATGAGATAGCTAGGAAGTAACTGATGGGTAGGTAAAGTATACAGCAGGTATGCAGTGGGCAAGGGGTGATGCACATCCTGAGTGGGATGGGGCAGGACAGTGTAGGACAGTTTGAGATTTCATCCCACTACTCAGAGTGGTATACAATTCAAAACTTACGAATTGTTTATTTCTGGAGTTTTCTCTTTAATATCTTGAGCCATGTTTGACTGAGAATAACCACAACCATAAACAGTGAAACTAGCTAAGAGGGGGTTGTGTTCATTTTTTTCAGAGTATGTTTGATTTTTCATGTAACCAGACATTAGAATATAATGAATAGATATGCAGTGTGTTGTGGTTGTAAGTTTGATCCAAAGACTTCTTCTATGATAAAGTTGGAAATACTTTGCATAAAAGCAGCGCTCATTCATTCATTCAACAAATAATACCAAGCACATCCTGATGGGCCCTGCCTTGGGCATGGAAGATACTGACATTCTAGCTAGAGGAGACAGGTTGCCAGTAATAAAACAATCAAAAGAATCGTTGCCAAATTAATACAATTTTTGCATAGATGCTTAAGAGGCAATGGGGAGGATGACAGTGGGCTGGCATTGGTCAGGTTAAGTCAGGCTTTTGGAAGAAGGGATGCTTGGCTAGACACCTGAGTGGTATGAAGAAGCAAGCTGTATCATGTTGTGGATGGTGGCAGTAGTAGACTCCAGGGTAGCAACAACCTTGGTCAGTTACAGCAACATCAGAGAAGCAGTGTGGGGTGGGGGAGTAGAAGAGCAAATATGACGATGGGGAGGCCCTGACTCAGAGGATGATGGGAAGGAAGTAAAGGAAGCAGCTTGGAGCTCTAGCCTTCCTGCAGCATGTATTTTGCCTTCTAGAGCCTCTATTTTGGAGGGTCATACTGATTTGTAACTTAGGGCACATGTTAATAAGCCAGTGCTGTGGTGGGTTGCAGGGAATACTTATCTTTGAATTTATGTAGAATGATACAGTGGGAACATAAGAGAAAGAAATGACAGAGTTGCCCGCATGACATGTTAGCACCCTTCAGGCAGGTCACAAGAAGAACAGACACTTTTTAGTCTGTCCTTTAGTAGTAGTTGAATTATATCACATTATGTATATTTTGGAGGCTTTATTAATAAACTGTTTATTTTTTAAATTATGTGTGTGTGTGTGTGTGTGTGTGTGTGGCCAGCTCAGCCCACCAGGGGGTGGGGCTGGCTGGCATATGGTGCTGGGGGATTGAACCGCAGTCCCTGTGCTTTGCTAAGCTTGTTCTAAGTAGGTGCTTTAGACCACTGAGCCATCTCACCAACCCCAATAAACTATTTAAATGTATGATTTAATTTTTATGGAAAGCTTTAACTTGTGCTACTGAAAACACAAGAGCACCTTTAAAGTGATTTTTTCCTCTGAGATAATTTGATACATATTTAGGTACTGCTTAGCATTTGGATTTCTTTGAAATCCAAGCATTGACACTTGAATGCTTTGTATGAGTAGAATATACTATTTTCATAGGTGACATTTTGCTTTTTTAAGTGATATATTTGCTCTTTTCTTCAGGCAACAGAAACAGACATCAAAATCAATGTGTGCACTCGAGCCTACCATCTACTTGTGAAGAAAGTGGGCTTTAATCCACATGACATCATCTTTGACCCCAACATCCTCACTATTGGTACTGGGATGGAAGAACACAATTGGTATGCCATCAATTTTATCCATGCAACCAAAGTCATTAAAGTAAGTATGGGTATTTTCTCTTTTCCATCTATGACCAAGTTCAAATTTATCATGTGGGTCTAGTGATGGCTGGAGTATAACATGTATTTTCTTTTTCCTAAAGAATATTAACTCTTATTCTTGTTTTTGTAATGTTTTAGAGATTTATCTGTGTTTCTATAGCTGTCATTTATTCATTTTTATTGTGTATTCTATTATGTTACTGTGCTACGATTAACCATTCTGTGAATGAACATCTGGTTTGTTTCCAGTTTTCTTGGACATAATGAACAATGCTGCTGTGAGCATTCTCACATATGTACATTTGGCACATGTGCCTGAGTTGCTTTGTAAGATATGCCTAGGGATGATTAGGTCATAGTACTAGATAATGGCAAGCTGTCTCCCTGAATGCTTGAACCAATTTGTACTTAAGCCAAGAATGAGAGTTCTTATTGTTCCATGTTCTTGCTAGTGTGATATGGTCTTAGGCATGGTAGGAACCTCAGTTTTCTTTTCTCCTTTTACAGTTGGTTGCTTATAAAGAATTAGAGAGTTTGTTCATTTAGGCTACAGAAGCCTTTTAGGAACTGTGTTGAGCAAGTAAGGAATGTGTGTTTACTCTGTCCCGTTTTTCCATTATATATCCAGCAGATATTTCAAGAAATGGTATATGTTATGCTCTATGATGATGTTATATCTGTATACAGAGACAAAGTAGAATTTCACATTTTTCCTTAGATAAAATTCTAGTAAGAAAAACTATGAAGCTTGACTTTTTGACATTGTAATATAGAAAATTATAGTCTGTGTCTAGTATCATCAAGCTCTGAATTACTTTTTTTTTACTGAAAATTTTTTATTATCTTTTAATAGCAACTATAATTATGTTTGTAATAATATAGTATATAACCTCCATTTTACAGTTTCTATTTAACATATTTATTTGGAAGATTAAATCACATTTATCTTTTTTGCCTGAACACTTTATATTTAAGCTCTGAATTACTTTGGTCTTTGTTTTTTACTTTCTACTCTTTAAGAGATGTCATTGATAGTTGCTTTCAGCAATACAGGAGAATCTTTTCACTTTTTAAATGTTTGCCAGGAAACACTGCCTGGAGTCAAAATAAGTGGAGGTCTTTCCAATTTGTCCTTCTCCTTCCGAGGAATGGAAGCCATTCGAGAAGCAATGCATGGGGTTTTTCTGTACCATGCAATCAAGGTATGGTAGCATACCTCCTTATCCTGTGGAACTCAGGGGGGCCTGCCCTTTAGCCCAGTTGTTTAAGTGAGTGCTTAGACAAAGCAATCAGGCTCAGGTTGCTGTGGTTCAATCCTCATATTCTCATGCCTTACCAGACCTGCCCTGAAGGCATCCTGAGCTAGCTCCACCCCCCTCCCCCCAAAAAAAAACCTATGGAACTCAGCTTTTACAGCTTTTACTTAGTTTAGCAGTTGCAAATTGTGACCTATAGGTTAATTCTAACTTGCTGCCAGTTTCTGTGAATGAGATTTTATTGGGGCACAACCACCCTGTTCATCTATATATTGTGTGCTTTTAGGGTACAGTGGCAGATCAGATAGTGATGACTGTGATTTAGGGTGTCACTGGAAATCCTCATTTTTGTTTTTATTGGCTTTAGTTTGGTATGGACATGGGGATAGTGAATGCGGGCAACCTCCCAGTATATGATGATATCCATAAAGAACTCCTCCAGCTCTGTGAAGACCTCATCTGGAATAAAGACCCTGAAGCTACTGAGAAGCTCTTACGTTATGCCCAGGTAGAAAGAAAAGTGTCTAATGGGTACCTCTTTCCTGTCTTTGAAGTTTCATTCACTTACACTTATTGAACCCACACTGTAGAATAAAAGCAAAATTGTCTGTCTGTCTGTCTGTCTGTGTCTGTGTCTGTGTCTGTGTCTGTGTCTGTGTCTGTGTCTGTGTCTGTGTCTGTGTCTCTCTGTCTCTCTGTCTCTGTCTCTCTCTGTCTCTCTCTCTCTTTCTTTCTAGCCCAAGTTGGCCTGGAACCCACAGTGATCCTCTGGTCTGAGCTTCCTGAGTGCTGAGATTACAGGCATGCACTACCACACTCCACTAGAAGCATGAGTTAATTTTTTGTGTTTTAGGATCACTGAAGATTTCTGCAGAATTCCAGAGAGGATGTTAGTTGGGGCAAGAAAGGAGAAACAGATATGCCTAGGCTGCTTTAGCATTCTAAATTTCAGTTTCTTTAAAGTGTGAAATGCATTTTTCTTATACCAGGATATACATATTATACAGATTTTAAGGGGATTTTTTTTTATTCTAGAAATTTTATATAAAGTTAGCAAATGAAGATTAAAATCAGTTATAGTCCTATCACCCAAAGTTAACCACTTGAGATTCTGTTACAATTTCATTTTTTTTTTTAGTAGATAAGTGCATATATACATTTTTGCAAAAATAGCATTGTATTCTTGAGTCTTAGTAACCTTAGTTAGCTGTATCCTGGGACACCTTTTCATTTTATTCATTTTTCTACTCTATTTAAAAAGACTTGAATTTTCTCATATAGTACAGTAGCATTACTTGTTAGATGTGCATCTGTTTCTGTTAGGCTGTGATCCCTCTATAGATGCTTCTGTAGTTCAAGGTTTGAGGTCAATACACATTAAATTTTTTTTGTTTTTATTAGTTCATATTTGCATTACATAATGATTACATTCTTCATGGGGAGTTGGTAGATATGTACAACACATCTTAACTTCTTTTTCATTCCCTTTACTTCCATCTCTTGATCCCCATCTGTTTTGTGAAAGAGCTGTCTTTCCTATTATCTGTCTTTTATTTTGCTCTTTAACTGATTTATACTTTGGCTTTCTCATGTGAAAGAAACCTTGCAATATTTAAGTGTGTGTGTTTTGGTTTATTTTAGTTAACATTGATGGCCTCAAGGTACATCCATTTTCCTATAAATGACTGAAATACATTTCAGCCATCTTTATGGTAGAGTAGTATGTGGTATATAAATACCACATTTTCTTTATTCATTCCTTGGTAGAAATACAGGCCACTTCTAAGATTTAGCAATTGTGAATTGTGCTGCTATAAACCTGGTTATGCATGTATCACTGCAATATGTTGTCTTTTACTATGTTGGGCAAACACCTTGGACAATAGCTGGGTCAAATGAAATTTTTGTTTTTATATTTTTGAGGAACTCTCGGTGATAGTTGTAGTAGTTTACCTTTCCAACAGTACTGTGGATGAGTTCCTCCCCCCCCCCCCCTGCCTTGCCAGCATTTATTATTTGGTTTCTTGATGATGACATTCTTTCTGGAATAAGGTTGGCTCTCAGTGTTGTTTTAATTTGATTTCTGTAATAGCCAGAGATGTTGAACTTTTTTTTTCTTGTATGTCTAGTGGCCAATTGTTCTAAGAAGTATAAATGAAGTCTATACACATTTGGTCTAGGAAAGTGAAAATTAAGTGTAGAAAATTCTAAGTTATGCTAGTTCCCACTTATATACTGGGCACAATGCTAGGATCATTACCTATCTTAGATGATGCTGTTTCCTAGAAATCAAATTAAAGAAAGAAAAGATCTTCACATGAAATAATACATCAGTCTGTTTAAGAGTAATGACAAAAAAGGACATTTTCCCTGCAACATGTGTTGGGAAAGTGATGGGCTGCTTTTCTGTGTATTGTCAAGTTTGTTAATGTTTTCTATGTTAGAATCTCAGTTTTATACTCTGACAGAACTACTAACTCTGCCTGTGCCACAGAAGAGTAATAATATGATCTGGAAAGATAGGAGAACGTAGGATTAATCGCATCCTTGATTGATCAGCCTTCCTTGTGATAAAATTTTAATTCTGAAACCATCTGTGGAAACCTCAGATCATATGTTACTGTGTGCATGGCCTTCTTTCAGTTCCTTAAAACATTTCTAGTTTCTTTTGGACCCAGGACAGAATGTCTCTGGTCATGATTGTTGCAAATATGGTCAAGTTCTGCTTTCCAACTTATTACGTAAGGAATAATCCCTAGGGCCTTTCTCTGTTTCTGTGGCTCTTTCTGCTCGTAGAGACAAAGTGCTTAGCCTTTCCTTAGTCTTGAAGCATGGAGACAGGGGCATTAAACACTGATTAGTTTTACTAATACACTGTCTTCTGCTCGGTGGGGAGCTTCTCTAGTAACTGAATGAGATTGGAGTGCATTGAAGGCCAGGGGACATCACAACTTATAGAATTCATAAAGTTACAATACCGGGTTCTTAATTCATGAAGTGATGTGTCTCTTCATCTTTTTCCGAACTTGAAACAACTCCTGTAATTTGGAAAAAGGCAGCTCAGTGCAGGGCTGGCATGGCATGTGGTACTGGGGACTAAACCTGTGTCATTGCACTTTCCAGACAGGTGCTTATGTCACTGAGCTATCTCCCTGTCCCTCTCAGGCCACTTCTAAGTAAGGTTTTGTTGTCATTGTATTTTGTCAGTGATTCTTTCTGGCTTAATTTCAGTTTTAGCACTTGTTTGGAAGGTTTTGTTTTTATATGCTATATTGAGCTGCCAGGTAGTCTTGCTCTCAGAAGTGCAGCTGAACTGAGGGAAATCTTAGTAGCAATTGCAAGAGGTAACAGTTCATCATATAAGGAATTGTCTCCTTAGTATAACCATGGGCTTATTATAAGCCATAGGCCCCTCCTCTGTCAGGTAGGCTGATTGAGTATGTTGAAGATGATTTCATTACTGTTAAGGGAATGAATAACCAAAGCAAGTATATGTTAATACTTCCCATGAGTCCCTACCTCTGTGACAGTTCCTCTGAGCACACTGAAGATATCAGGAATGAAAAGCAGGAATGTTGTGATGTATATGAGTTGAAGAATTATTTTTCTTTACAGGAAAAGTTACTTCTTTTTGTTGTTAAATGAAGTCTTTAAGTTCCTGATACATTACTGAAAATGGTAGGAAGAGTCTTGCCTTTGATCTTCTGAGGCTCTACAATCCACGTTTAGGGAGTACCGGCCTATCGTTGAATCACAGTTCCACTAAATTGGTACACATTGACCTGTGGTGAATGTTGTTTTTGGCAAAAAGTTTCAGGTATCATGGTGCCCTGTGATTCATGGCATTTCTGTACTAAATGGTGTCTTACTGAAGCCACCTTTGGGCTCAAAGCCTCCTTGTTCTGCAAGGGATTGCTCTTGAGTAACTGGATCGCCAGAGTATTTGAAATACTGGTTTGAAAAGTTCTTCAGGTCTTCCATAACCTATTCTTTGATTTGGCTTTGGTTCTTCCCATGGCCATGTGAGCCTGTGATCACATTTGGCTGTTTGGGAAGTAGTTAATTCCCTTGAGACTCGTCCAGTTTGATTTCAGAACAAAATTCACATTACCACAAGGCCCTTGCACTCTGTGGGCTGGAGCAGTTGGAACAGGAAGGAGTTGTTTTTGTCATTAGCTTTATATATATACAGATGCAAGCATGAGCCACATGGATGGGAACATGGATTGGTCCTTTCACTTACTGGCTCCTATAGTTTATTGGACTTCAGTAATATGCTTGGAGTCAGACCTACCTTCCCAGGCACCAAGAAAGTTAGTTGTGTGGAAGGTAGTAGTAGGGATGAAGAAAAGAATGGAGGAGACATAAGTGTTAGGATAAAGTGATGGGTTGAGTGTGAGGAATGGAGTTCTAGGAATGACTTGAGCAGCTACTGCCACCAGTGGAAATGGACCATGATCTACCTAATGTCATTACGATTGCACTTCTGTGTCTTTGCTGAATCTGTTCCCTTAAGGCCTTACCCCAGTGCCTCTTTCTCCCACCCCCAGAAGTAAAATAAGACACAAGATACGTATCAGATTAGTATTTTTTTTAAAAATGTATTTAGTACATGGTCTCTAGGGTCTCACTACACAGATCAGACTCCTAGTAATCCACCTGTTTTCAGCCTCCCAAGTGCTGGGATTACAGGCGTGTGCCACCATGCCCAGTCTCAATCACTCTTAGCACACCCTGGGGCCGGCACAACATGCCAAGAATGGAACCCTGGTCTCTTTGTCTGCCTAAGCAGGTGTTTTAATCTGCTGAGCTATCTGGCTGGCTCTTATATCATTAGTATTAAGGAAGCTTTTCTTCACCATCTTACTTTGTGGTGATAACTATTTCCTTAACATTCCCATGTTTCTGGTCTGTATTGTCTACTAACATACATTAGTACTAACAGCCCCTAGCATACATTTTCTATTTTTGATATTTTATTTGTTTCTCTGTGTATTTTCCACTTCATATATTATAAGGAAATCTTGGAGAATGTGATCCAGTTCTTATACTTTTTAGTGTGTTCCACTTCAGAGTGATATCTGCCTAAGCCTTATTCTAGCCTGTTAATGATGCACTTGCTGGTGACAGGTGATGGATGGGTGATCCTTGTTGGGTGTTAAAAAGCCTACCAAGGTGAGAGTATAGTTTCCTTACTGTTAGGAATACTTTTTCTGAGTAGATTTTTAGAAAAGAAAGAAAAAAATGGAATCTTACTCTGTGCTAAAGCTTCAAATCTTAAAAGATTTCTCTTTCTGTCTCCACTTTTCTCAAACATTTACTGAGATCTTAATTTATGCTGAGGATACCCCTATGGGCTGGAAATTAAAAGAAGAATCAGTTACCTTTTCTTTTTTTTTTAATTTCCTGCCAGAATAAGGTGCTATTTAATTTTGTTCTTCCATAGCTAACATTTTTTATGTATTTTATGATTTTTTTTTCTTTAAAATGTTTTGGACAATTTCATTTTTGTGTATTTTGGTATGATTTTATTTTAAATTTCTTGTGCTAAAGGTTCATTTTTCTTGGAAATGCAGTATTATAAGTTGTACTAAATTCAGAAATTTTAAATCTTTAAATATTTATTGTCTACTCCTTTCCACTTTGAGAATTCTAATTATATGAATATAAGTTTTTTGATTTTGACAGTGAACTATTATGACTGATCTGTAAATTCTTTCTTCATTTTTATTTTGGACAATTTTTATTGTTATATTCATTTATGCTTGTAAATAATTTATTTTCAATTTGCAATTTATTAAAAAATTAAAATAAAAAAATTAAAAAAAATTTCCTACCAGATAGTGCAATAAAAAATTGCTTGTATCTTTTTCTTGGTCTTAATTTCATTCAGACTCATGGCAAAGGAGGGAAGAAAGTTATCCAGAGTGATGAGTGGAGGAATGGCCCCATTGAAGAGCGCCTTGAATACGCCCTCGTGAAGGTGAGTACCAGAGCCTGCTCAGCACAGTGGGTAGCTCCCTGTGACTGGTGCCCTTGCTGAGGGTGGGTGCCAGCAGTGGCTAGAGGAGACGTGCAGCATCCCTGGCCACTGATTCTCAACCTGGGGTGTTCCCTACCCCTCTGTGGCGACTGTATGACAATATCTAGAGACACGCTGTCTCCCTCTGCCTATGGGAGACATGTTTATTTTTATTTTTTTTCTTTTTATTTATTTTTTATTTTATTTTATTTTTTTATTTTTTTTATTTTTCAACAAATAATACACTACATATATTCTTCTTAGTGGTTAATTGCTGTACAAGATGCAGACTTGTGATCCTATTTACAAACACCATTAGAACAAATTATTCTATTCATTAAGAGAATGCAACTATATATCTATCCCAACCTCTTTGAATACACAGATACAAAATGGACATTCATCTGTATACCCCATTTTTTGTAAGTTCCGTTATTGAATATTATAGGTGTGTAAACTCAGCAAAATATTCTCAAAGAGTCCAGTAGCCCATATTAGCATTGGGTCTTCTGTTTAACTGGCAATGTCAGAAATTATTGACCTGAGTCCCCCACAGCTCAACTTAACAGCATGGCTTTATTTCTTATAATTTCGTCTTCATACGGGAGACATGTTTAGAATCTGTTGCCTATTGATGCTGCTAGACATCCAGTGCCCAGGACAGCCCCTCCAGGGGTGAAATTTTCCAGCCCAAATGTCCACAGTGCTGAGGTTGTGAACCCTGCCCTTGACTAACATTTGCTTTCTGTCAAGTCAGCAAATCAGCCCTGCATAGTCTATGGACAATTGAAATTTTGGGCAGGATAAGTGATCTCTTGGCTTCATTTTAGCTGGATAACTTCAAAATTCTTTTTTTCTTTTTGGCTGTATAATTCTTGGGCCTTTTGAGAGCTACATATTTCAGTTTATGAAACTAGCCACATGTCTCAGTTACTTTTCTTTTGTTGCTGGGACAAAATATGCAATATCCAGAATTAAGGAAAAGTTTATTTAGCTCACAGTTTGTGGAAGTTTCAGTCCATCGTTGGCTGGCTTGAGGGCAGGATGGCACATGGCAGAGGGCAGCAGTTCACAGTGGCAGAAAACAGCAAAAGCAAAAAGGTAGGAGCAGTGGCATTGGTGGTAGCAGGGGCAGAGGCAAGCCTCTTTCCCTTCCTTAATATTGCATTCAGCTGTAGAGCTCACACCCATAATCCCAGCATTGGATTATGAATTAATCACAAACTAGAAGCCTGCTCCAATGAGTGCATGAGGCTTTGTGGGGAACACCTAGACACAGACCATAACACCACATCCAGTAGTCCTTGAATGGAGGACTGTGGTGGAGGGCTTGTCAGCAATGGCCAGGTGAGTTTCTCTTTTTGAACTTAACCTGAATTTTGAACCTCTTCCACTCAGGTAATATTATAGTACAAAAAAATACTGATTTCATGAGATACTACTAGTGTATAACCTGTTAAAAGGCACATATTTAAGTTTGTGTGTCTGATTTATTTCACTCAACATTATCATCTCAAAGTGTATCCGTTCTCCAATAAATGACTTGTCTACCCTTCATTAAGGCAGAGTAGTGCTCCATGGTATGTAAAGGCCACATTTTCTTTATCCATTCGTCTGTTGATGGACATAGGGTCTGCTTCCAAGATTTAGTTGTTAAGAATTTTGCTGCTATAAACATGGGCATGCATGTATTTTTGAAATATGATGTCTTTAGCTCTTTGGGGAAGATACCTAGAAGGGAATAGCTGAGTCAAATGGAAATTTCTAGTTTTAGTTTTTTGAGGAATCTATTGATTTCCATAGTGGCGATACTAGTTTACATTCCCATGAACTGTACAAGGTTTTTTTCCCCCTCCGCAGCCTCTTTAGCATTTGTTATTTGAATTCTTGATGACATGTGTTAGTTGTTCATGTTTCGACTGCACAAGACATGTGAATATTATGTGCTGCAAATGTGTACCAAACCAAAGGAAGGTTATGAAGGGACAGGTGGAGAGGGAGGGAAGGGAAAGAAGAAAAAAGGAATTAGGGTGTGTTATTTACATGTACCAACTTCCCATAAGGAATGGGAATAATACTATACACAGGTACTAATAAACTAAAATAAAAATACTACGGTACAGCTTATAGTTTATTTTGTGTTTGAAGTCTACTCATTAGTCCATTTTCTCTAATAGCTCACTTTTGTGAGTATTTTGTATGAGAAAGCCAGCTGTCAGCTTATACGGGCTATCTCATTTAATAATCCTTAAACTGAACATATGAGTTAGATACTATAGTGATTTTTCTGAGTGAGATAACTGAAGTTTAATAGATAGCATGAGTTAGTGGCAGGAGCCAGGATTTGAACTCCTGTATTCTCCTTCTGGAATTCAAAACTTTTTTGTTTGTTTCATGAGACAGGAGGATCTTGCCATGTAGCCCAGGCTGGCCTCGGACTCTTAGGGATCCTTCTGCCTCAGCCTCTGGAGTGCTAGGATTATAGGAATGTACCACCATGCCCAGCAGTAACTCATAATCTTACATTTCTGCGATTGATCTCTCTTTGCTGCTTAGATTTAGTCCCATTTTTAGTGTGATTTTTTTTCCTTATTTCTTTTTTTGAAGGGCATTGAAAAATATGTTGTTGAAGATACTGAGGAAGCCAGATTAAACCAGGAAAAATACCCTCGACCTCTGAATATAATTGAAGGACCCTTGATGAATGGCATGAAGGTTGTTGGTGATCTTTTTGGAGCAGGAAAAATGTTTCTACCTCAGGTTGGCGAAACGAGATATTTTTACAATTGAATTTTGTTTTCTTTCAGTGAATATGAGTATCTTATATTTTTCTCCAGTTTTAGTTTAAACAAGAGTTCAAAGGCATTATCTGGTTGTTCCTTCCCTCGATGTATTTGGAGTTACGTTTGGAAAAAAATCATCTTTAGAATGGTGTGGAGGTTAGAAATCATCTGGAAATTCTGAACAGTATAGTCTTTATGGTTTTTCTAACTACCTACCCCTGTGTCTCTTTCTCTCCTCTTCAAAAGTAAAGTAAGACCCAGAATATGTCAAGTTAATATTAAGGCTTTATTTGACTAGCTGATGCTTATCTTTAATGGTGCATACTTTAAAAACTACTGTGTTGAAGAGTGGTATGTTAAATGTTATATTTCAGGTAAATCCAAAAGTCTGTTTTGCGGTACAGCAGCTACTAATCCCATCAGTAAATAAACACTTGCTGAGCATATAGGTTAGGGGCCCTACAGCAGTGGAAGACTGAAAGGACTCCTGCATAGGACTCAATTTTAAGTGAGTTGTAATGTGTAGGATAAAGAAAAAAAGGCTGGGAATGAGGGCATGGTAGAGAAGCTTGGGACCTGAAGGATACACAGAATTCAAAGAAATGATAGAGGGCTTCTAGGCAGAGAAAAGGAAGCAGAAGTTCAGAAGATGGCAGTCACAATGTTTGGACTCCATTCTTGTTTTCCTTTCGCTTTACATCTCTCACACAGAGTTTATTCTTCAGCCTACTCACTGTCCAAAGCAACTCATGGAGCTGGCCTGAGGTCAGAGCATGCCTTCCATTTTCACAGGCGGTCATTAGCAATGGAACCAGGGATTGAACTCAGACCCTTGCACTTGACAGGGAAGTGCTTATTCCACTGAGCCATCTCCCTGGCCCTATGTGTCATGCTTTGAAATGGCTGATGGTTGGAGTGGTCAGTCTGATACCTGACTCTGTTCTTTTCTTAGGTTATAAAGTCAGCTCGGGTCATGAAGAAGGCTGTTGGTCACCTTATCCCTTTCATGGAAAAAGAAAGAGAGGAGAACAGAATGATTAATGGCACTGTAGAAGAAGAGGTAAGTTGGTTTATCCAGGCCTCTGGGCCCTTTCAGTTGTGCTTAAGCAGTCAGTCTTGGCTGTGTTTGTTCTTGAAGATAAAGTACGGGAGTGATCCAGCATTTGACACTCCTTTACCAAGCTAGTTTTTTCCCACATTAACTGATCATTTACAAAGTTCCTGCTAGGTACTGTAGCTACCAAGTTCTTGCCTTGCTTTTGAGGTGTTTGAGGGTTTTTTTTTTTTTTTTAGGAAAACTCTTGAGTATTTTTCTACTGGTAGTATCCTTCACCAGTTCTGGATTCAATTTATTCTTTTTTTTTTTTTTTAAATTTATTTTAGGGAAGGGTCTACAGGTTGTTTAGGGTCTCACTGCTAGATCGGACTCGTAATGATCTGCCTGTTTAGAGCCTCCCAAGTACTGGGATTACAGGCATGTGCGACCACGCCCAGTCTCAATTGCTGTCTCAGTGGGCCCTGGGAGCAGGGCCCTCATGGCAGGCCCGGGATTTAATTTATTCTTGCTAACTGTACCACCAAAGTAAATCATTAATCCTTTTCACTTTGTTTAGCTCCCTGGAAAGCTCAGGCAGTTTAAGTTTCAGCTCCTAAGATTCCAAATTTCTTAAATTGATGTGAGTTTATAAATGCCATACACAGACACAATACTTAAAAAAATGCTGCTTGGCTTGGTTACCTTTCATTTTTTGCTTTGGAGGGAGGAGAGTATGTTTACAGTTCTTTATGTCAAAGAAGTAGGTACTCAAGTGCTTTCTGCATTCAGATTCTAAGAGAACATTTCTATAGTTAGCCAGGTCTTCCCTCCTACTCCTCTCCTTTTAATTGTTGACATTAAACATTTGTCAGTTTGGGGGGCTAAATTTGTAGTGGGATTGTTCTGTGTTTGAGCATCACTGCTGCTTAGGATGGTGGGATATGTGCTCTTGGTTGAAGTCCTGTGGGCTTACCAGGTAGGCAGGCTTCCTGTCTACTGCTTGAGTTTACAACATTCTTAAGAGAACAGGATTTGGGTCTCAGGCTTATCTTCAAGATGGTCTTGGTTGTATTTAGTTCCTGTCTGTGCAGACACCTGCCTGGTTCTTGAGAGCTAGGTGGTCTGCTCTAAATGATCCCAGCCCTCCTCAGCTGCTTGTTTTACTTTCCAGGACCCTTACCAAGGCACCATTGTGCTGGCAACTGTTAAAGGCGATGTGCATGACATAGGCAAGAACATAGTTGGAGTGGTCCTTGGCTGCAATAATTTCAGGTAATTTAAATCTTACCACTTTTAAACCCTTTTGAGGGCTGGGGAGATAGCTCAGTAGAACATTTGCAAGGGCCTGAGTTCAATCCCTGGTTCCGCCAAAAAACACCCTTTTGCTATTTAAGCATCCAAGTGTTTCAGCAGGGAAATGTTTTATTGGGTAAGAGAGGTAGGGTATGGTAGTGGATTTTAGGGGTTGCTTTTGTTTCTGTCTACTGTGTTTTCAAATTATCTACAGTGAACATAATTTTTCTTTTTTTGTATTCTAGGGAAGGGTCTACAGGGTGTTCAGGGTCTCACTACTAGATGGGACTCAGTGATCTGCCTGTTTACAGCCTCCCAAGAGCTGGGATGACAGGCACATGCTACCACACCCAGTCTCAATTGCAGTCTCAGCGCACCCTGGGGGTGGGGCCGGCACGGCAGGCCCCAGGATTGAACCCCCGGTCCCTAAGCCTGCTCGCAGCACTTTAATCCCCTGAGCTATTTGGCTGGCCCTTGAACATAATTTTTCAAATGAAGTAAATAGCTATTAGGTATTTATTAAGGTAAAAAAGAACAGAAAGCTGTTCAGGCAGGTTGAGGGTTTCATGGGGAACATGGGCTCTAAAGTCTAGAACATAAAGCTCTGCATAGCCAGTGGCATTCTGAATATTCCTTTTCCTCTCAGTAGCTGTCAGAGCTAGTGGCCCATAGTAAGTGTATATTTTGTTCAGTTTTCAGCATATTCTTTACAACGGAGATCTAATACAACGAATGCCTTCCCTGGTTTGGTCCATGTCCAGCTGGCAGTCCGTTTTGTGTCATGGACTTCTTCCCAGCGTGCTGTTTTCTGTGGGTAGAGAAGAGAGAATTAACTGGAGTTATAGCTGTGCCTCTTAGAATTCTTTCTCCCTTTTCAGATAACAGCAAGCCTTTAAGGGTCTTTCTACTTTTCCACACTTTTCTCTGTCTCTACCTTCATGGCTACTGAATAGTCATCAGGAGAGCTAGATGGAGAGGGCAAGAGGATCAGGAAGGCAACCTTCCCCTCTGACAGTCTGTTGGTCTTTTTGTTTACTCTCTGTCTAAAGACTTGTCATTCTTGTCTTGATCCTAAAAGTAATGAATGCTATTTCTATCAATATATTTATTATTATTATTTTTTTACATCTGACATATTTTCATTTATACTCAATGGCAACAGAAACTGTCTCAAAATCAGTGCAGGTACTTTGTGTTTTCAGGAGACATTTTAAAATATGCTATATGCTATTTCAATGGAAGTTTAAAAGCCATACCTTGCCCTGGTTGGCAGTGGTTTTAATTATAAAGTCACTCCTCGTGTTGTCCACGTTCGACACCAGAATGGAGCCCTACTCTGGAGTGGTATCAGATGGGTACACATACTCCTGGGTACACGTGCTCCAGTGCATCCAGGTCCCTGACATAGGCAGGTAACAGTCACATCTTACCAGTAAGCTAACTTCTACTCGGTCCTCAGACCCAGTCTGGCAGGACTACTGATTCACAGAGGGCTGGCAGTTACCTGGCATTTCTAGTTCCAAAGTGATCAGAAGAGGGC